CTCAGCAGAAAGAATAGATGTGCTATACACACACAGACACACACACACTATACATTATACAGTGAGATATACATATATCCATATATACACTAGCTAATTTTTGAGTAATTTTCAAAATAAAAGTTTCTAATTCCTAACTCAAGAAACTGTAACTTCCTTTATTTCCTCTAACTCACCATAATGGACTCAGAAAAACTAATATCAAAAATGTTTATTTATAAAAGGAAGAAAATGCCAGGAAAGGGGGGGAAGTAGTATGGATATGACAAACAACTAATGCCCTCTAGTTCAATTTGGATAATGTGATAAAGAAAAAGCCTTTGATTGTCATGTATCCTGCTTCTGATTATAAAGATGAAGGGGAAAATATCGACCCATAATAGATACACACACACACACACACACCCCTTGTGACTATAAATAAAACTTTAAATAAAATAAAAATAACCCATACCAGTGCATTTATAGTATCGTCCTTCAAAGTTGTTACCTCAGAAGGGTATGCATTTACTACAAAAAATGCTGTCACTGCTCAAAACATTTTTGGAACTACTTTGGAACTGTTATTGGAGGCAGTTTATAAGTATTCAAGAAAAATCGATCTTACTTTATAGTTGTACTCATGTGATCACAATTGTTATAGAACCACCTGCCATCAAACAACTTTTGGCTGTTTCAACCTTTCTCCCCCCATTTCCCTCCAGGGTGGAACTTTGCCATCACCGAAAATACTACAAAGAGCATAGTCTACTCAGAAATACATTAAGTCTCCCCATTTCAAATCTCTCCCCTTTCCAGTCTATCCTCCACAGAGCTGCCAAACTGATATTCCTAAAGCACAAGTCTGACTACATTCTTCTCCTACTCAGGAAGTACCAATGGCTCTCTACTGGCTACAGGATAAATATCAACTTCTGGTTAGTATTTAAAGCCCTTCACAATCTGGTTCCAGTCTATTTTTCCAGCTGCTAACAAGAACAATAACGGGGCAGCTAGGTGGCACAGTGGATAAAGCACTGGCCCTGGAATCAGGAGGACCTGAGTTCAAATCTGGCTTCAGACACTTGCCACTTCTTAGCTGTGTGACCCCTGGGCAACTCACTTAACTCCACTGCCTAGCCAAAAACACCCCCCCCAAATATTAGGTAGATAGATAGATAGATAGATAGATAGATAGATAGATAGATAGACAGACAGATAGACAGACAGATAGATAGACAGCATTTAGGGCTTTTATCAGACTTTAAGATTTGCAAAGCTCTTTACAGCTATTATCTCATTTTATCTTCACAAGAACCACCAAGGTAGGTACCATTATTATTTCCAATTCACAGATGAGAAAAATGAGGCAGACGGCAAGGACTTGCCCACAGTCACATAGCTAGAAAGTGTCTGAAGCAGAATTTTAACTCAAGTCTTCCTGACTCCAGGTCCAGTGCCTATCCAGGACAAATCACTCCCTTTCAGGAATGTCATGGTCCTGCCAAACTAGATAGACTACTTGTTGTTTCTCACATACGACATCCCATCTCTGCCTCTGCACAAACTGCTCCCTCTCCCCCTTGTAACGGGACTCCCTCCTCACCTCAAGTTCTTAGAACCCCTACTGTCTCAGTACACTATCCCTACAAAAGACCTATCCTGATTCCCTAGTTACCATTGCTTTCCTACCCCAATGAAATCACTGTGTCCACATTTTGTGTTTCTATAGCTATTCAGAGTTTCCCCCGTACTTCCAATACAATGTAAGCTCCTTGTGAACTGGGATTGTTTTATTTTTGTCCTTGTATTTCTCATGCTTAGCACAGAGTAGGCACTTAATAAATGTTAGCTGAATGAATGAGTCAGAGAGAGTCTAAAGGCAATTCCCAAACAGAAGCCCCAAAAAATATCTTTGGGCAATAGCATCACTATTGGAAAAAGTCCACAGGCTCCCAAGATAACTACTTGGGATGGGGCAACACTCACTTCTAAGTATTAGCCTAACAATAAATCTCATCACCCTGTAATTATCACACCCTACATCCTTAACAGGTCCCTTAAAACTAGAGATGAAAACAAAACCCATAATTCCTGAGCTATCTACCAAATCAAGTAAAATTTCCATAACCATAATGGTCAAGGCCCTTAACAAACATAGTGCAACTTACCCTTCTATAACCTTATTTCCTATACCCTAACCCTAGGCTTCAATTAAATTGGATTACTTATTCCCCAATCAGGACTTTCATTTTATTACCTCCACACCTGACTCATGTCATTTTTCTCTATTTGGAATATTCCCATTCCACACCTATTGTAATCTTACACAGCCTCTCACTCTTAAGTCCTATAAGCACTTGATTTATGCTACTAATTGGTACTTAATAATATTGCCTTGTTTTATACTTTTCCCCCCTCCCTTCTATTCCATAATAGAGGGTGGGAAGCCCTCAAATAATTTCACCTTTGTATCTCTGGTGTCTAGCACAGAGATTACACATAGTAGGAGCTTTAAAAATGTTCACTGAATAAATGTCATTCTTTGAAAAAAGAATTCAATAAGCCCTTGTCCACAAATATTGCATTCCTAAAAATAGCACTAATGCCAATATGGTTGAGTATTTACTCAGGTTCATACCATAATAAAGCAAACAGTCATCAACTAAATCAAAAAAACGAGAAGACTATCAATCTGCAACCCTGTAAATTAAGAATTATAGCTCAAATATCTCCTAGTATTACTTTACCACACTTTATTTGCTGGAGTCAAAACAATGTAACATCGCTGTGTAGGCCAGAGAAAGTCATCTAACACTGGCTCTCCCACATGGCTTTCCCACTCTGACCAGATCAACACAGGGGTCAGACCTAATTTCCCATATACACTGTGTAGAATTCCTTAAAAAGCAGTCACATCTGAGGCAGTACAAGATGCAAATTAAGTCATTTCCCTGCAATTTGAATCGGTCATCCCCACAGGACTTCAATGCTTTCCTCTCTTACTATCCAAGTCCCTAAAAAGGTAGTAAGGCTGAGTTAGTATCAGTAAATATGCTCACCTCTCTTCTGTTAATGATAAAGAAGTGGCAAGAAAAAGAATATTTAAAATGAATTCTCATTCATTCCAAAAAGTTTAATGCTGAGTGTAAATTAAACATAATTTGAAAAACAAATAACACTACTGTATTGAGACAAATGAGTCATAAGATCAGTTAACAAGTCAACTGTTCTATTTGCTACAAGGATTTTTATACAATCAGCCAATTAAAAAAGGTTATAAAATTGAACAAATAGTTGCTTCTACAACAGTCTAAAAGCTAACCAATATTTTCTTAATTTAAAAAGTTCTGAAAGTTAAAATTAATTTATTTTGTAATCTATATTGGATTTAAAAAAGAAATACTACTGAGTATGTAAAGGAAATTGGGAATCTGTGATTTAACTGATTGATTTGAGAGTCCAAACTATTTATAGTCTACTACTGAGATTAAAATATTGCAATTGCACTTTGGACTCTAAATATCTTTTGAACTTTACCTCCTCAAAACTCAGAATTTGGCATTAAAGATTAAAGATATAATGTGCAAAGATAACCACTATGTTGAACAATAAACACTATATAAGCCTTGCAATAAGGAATGACCCAAAACAAGAAAAACTGTTAGATTGGGATGATTTAAAACTCATGAAAACTATCTGAAGTCATGTTGCTTTTAAAAATCTGTAGTTTCACAAGTCAAAGCTAACTGTCAATTTCAAAATCATTTAAAAACTGTATTGAGTCTAATGCAACAAAAGCAGTCCCTGAGAAAATCATAGTAAAGATGACACTTCTAGAAAACAAAGATTAAATAACCTTCATCATGAAAACTCAGTTTAAAAAAATTACATGCCTTTTAAAATCAGAAGACATATTCTAGAAATGCCACAAGTAACAAATATGCCAAAGAAAGATGTATATATCAAATGAAAACTTATATTTAGGAAAGTAGTTTTATCTTAAAGAATAAAACAAGCCTCAGAATCAAAGCAAATTAACTGCAAACTGATAACCAAAAGGTGGTTTAGTGAAGGTCACCAATGCAGCAGAGACTGAAATTCACTGACTCTTAACTGAGAAAATGATTTTTTCGAAATGTTTACACAGCACATTATAACAGTCTATTTTTGATATGTTTTTTTCCCCACTGTTAAATATTCAACCCATTTTCTTCCCACTGTTAAATGTTCATAATTATTTCAAACCTTGAACCACTAATGTAACTAACATCAATTATCATTGTTTCTATGCTAGACTAAGTCAAGGTCTTGTAACAAGATTTACATGATCTATTTTCACAAAACACCACTGGAGACAGGGATAAGCCTGTTTCTGAAAAAGTATTATCTTTTAGGTAAAGGTTACCTAATTTTTCACTTCGTTTAAAGTTTCAGTTTTGCTTTTAATCTATTACAGAAAAAAATCCCTTGTGAGATATGGTAAAGGGCAGACACTCCTGTCAAGCCAGAAGGCTCACGCACAAAGACAGGGAGCTAACCAAGTGCTGTAATTCTTCCAAACTGAGCCTCTCTCTCCATATCCCCTCCACCGACTTCCCCCTAACAGATATGTCTATTAAATCAGTGTCTGTTCTCCCCCTCACACAACAAAGAGAACTTCTCACCGCATGAAATTGCCGCTGAATGGACACCAGAAAGCTGGATTTGCATAATTCCTTCCAATGAAACCCTGTAGGGAAGGAGGGGGTGAGGGGCCCCAGACAACCTCTAAAATCTCCTACGTTAGCAAACAGTTAGGGAAGACCAGGTCCCTAACTAATATGCCCCGAGGGCCTCCCCAGAGAGTGGGCGTGCGGGACGGGGAAATTTCCCCACACATCAGCAGCAGCAGCAGCAGCAGCAGCAGCAGCAGCAAAGAATGAGAAGTAACAATACTGGAAGCAGGAGAGTCAAGACACAAGGATGGAGTGGGGCTGGGGCGCGGCGGGCGGAGCGGAGACACCACACGGGCCACTTACTTTTCGGAGGGGGGTTAAATATATGAGTTAAGCCCTTATGGTCCCGCCGGCCGCCGCACAGAGGGAAACGGGACCTTGGGAGAGAAAAACAGACAAAACATACAGTGTGAGAGGAGCAGCTCAGCCGCCCGGGCCCCTCCCGGGGGCACCCCCGTCCACTCCCTCCTCCCCACGGGGAGAAGACCACCCGGGGACCGGCCCACGCAAAGCCGCGGCACGGAGCGGGCAGAGGATGCTGCGGTTCTCAGGGCAGCGACGACCAGGAAGCAAACCCCCAGAGAGGAGAAAAGAGGCCCCCGCCGTGGTCTTCTCAGCTGACCTCCGTGCAATCCACCGCCCCCCTCCCCCACGGCACACGCACACGCCACCACCAATAACACACCCACCCCGAGCCCCCGCCAGCGGAGCGAGGGAAGCCGCTGTCCCCCGCGGCCATTACACCCGCTCAGCTCCCTCCTCCGTCGGGCTCGGGGCCTCTGACAGCTCCAGCTCCCCCATCAGCTCCCTCGCCCACTCCCGGGCTCCCAGGGCCGAGGCGCGTGCACGGGGGCGGGGGGGGAGAGGGCGCGCGCGCGGCCACGCGTCTGGGAGGCGAGGGGGGAAGGGGAGGGAGAAGGTGAGGAATGGGGGGGGACGGAGAGAGACAGACAGAAGGGCGGCTGGGGAAGGTGGGGGGCGGTGATTGGTCCAACGCCCCCCTCCCACCTCCACCCCGCCCAACTAGCTCAGCGTAAGCCGGCAGTGGCGACCCCGGAAAAGAGCGTACGTTTCGGACCGAGTCTCCACAATACACCGCGGCCCAGGCGCCGGGTCAGGGCTGGGGGGAGGGGCGAGAGCCCGGCCCGAGAGGGCAGAGCCGCGGAGAGGGGGGGGAAGGAGGGGCGAGCGCGCGCGCGCCGAGTCCACAGGGAGAAGCGGCCGTCGTAGTCGCGCGCCGCTCGCCCACCAGGGGGTAAGGGAAGAGAGGGGAGACGGAGAGAGAGGGAGGGGGAGGGGGGAAGAGAGCGAGAGGGCCGGAGGAGGAACTGACTGGTTCCCTCCCCGGCCGGGGTCGGCAAGCGGCGAGGCAGCCCCGGACCGGAGGCGGCGGCGGGGGGGAGGGTCTCACCTACACAGTGAATGAGCTTGTGGCGCCACGAATCCAGTTCCTGCCGAAAGCCGCGTCTCTCAACGGAGCATTGCTGCCGCCTACACACCCTCGCCATCTTCTGCCGCCAGCCCGGCCCAGCCTCCGCCTCCACCGCGGCCCCGCGCACGCATGGTCACGCCACACCCGGGGCCGCGCACGCACGCCACCCCGCCTTGCGTCAGACCTCCCGGGGTGGGGGGAGGAAGGAGGGCCGTGGGGGAGCTGGGGTGACCCGCGACTCCCTCACCGTCCCCTCCCCTGCCCCGGGACTTCTCGGCTCATTCGTCTGGGAGTCTTTCCCAGGGACCTACCTAGGGTCCCGTGGGCCAGCCCACCCTCCCACTCACCGCTGGGCCGCCCCCTCCAACCCACTCCGAGCTTGGCCTTGGAAAAGTCACTGCTCAGACGTGCCCCTGGTACCTGGTCCAGATCCCAGCGATTCCGTGTCAAAGCGCTGGCCTTACTCTTTTCCCAGTTGTCTTTGTTTTTACACCATTTACCACTCCCAGCTTTCCGCTATGCCAACTGTTGCGTGAAGTTTAAGTACTTTTAATAACCTTATTGGGGCAGAAATAACAGTTGGCGATGGAGAAATAGGACCCCAGTCATTTCAACTTAAAAAAAAAAAGAAAAGAAAAACCTTAAGCTATTTACAGACTTTAAAAGTATTATGAGGCATACGACCTAAGTCATTTCAACTTTAAAAAAAAGGTGCACTATTTATAGACTTTATTACTGCATTTTGAGGAATAGGACCCAAGTCATTTCAACTTTTAAAAAACCCTTTAGACTTTATTAGTATATTATTAACAAAACAATTATTAGACTCATGACATTTAAAGCCCTTCACAACCTGGTTCCAACCTACTTTTCTAGGCTTATTATACATTACTGTGCTCTCCCTTCAAGTGCTGCCCCCCCAATTGCCAGTGCCTCATCCATAAAATTACTTCATATTTATTTTGCATATATTAATATGTATGTATTACTTTGTATATATTAGTCTATGTACATATATTAATCTGTCCTCCAACATAAAATAAGCTTCTTGAAGACAGGGGAAGTTTCTTTTTTGTCTTTGAAGCACCCTGGTACTTAGCACAGTATCTGCACATAGTTGAATGCTTCTTGATTGAGTGAAGCTAATCACGAAATAAATTAATGTAAATAAAAACTGGACTGTCAGCCCCATGGCCCCTGTGTAAAACTCTAGAACTGAGATCAGTTTGCCTTTAGTCCCCCTATACCTTTTACAGATGACCCCCTATCACCCATTTCATCTTCCTTTTTTTTCCTTTAAGAGAAAAAAAACCCTCAAAATTAATTCATACTAAGATCAACTTAAGGTGGTAACCCTTTTTCCATTGGAGGTATTTGTATTTCAAAGGAGGACTTGATTGAGAAGGCAATACTTAGTGCTGAGGTTTGAAATGCTAGTGCCATAATTTTAAGTGTTAGAAAGAAACCAATAGGGGAGATACTTTTCTTCGAAGAGGGGGAGGAGGGAAGAGAGATAAGGGGACAGTGAAATCCGATTGTAAAATACTACAGGCAAGGCTGATCTTAGCTATTAGTCTACAAGGTAGGTCCTTAATATAGATTTCAAACTCTCTTGGCTCTCACCTAGGAAAATCCAAATATTTCTCTTTGATGATGATTTGGGTAGAAAGAAAAATGGAAGAGAGCAGAAAAGGGGAAATGTCACCCATAAAATTAAAAGTATTTGAATTCTCATTATATACACGAAGCTGTGTTATAGTGGATAGAAAGAGACCTGGTCTTGAAGCCAGGAAGACCTGGATTGAAGTCCTACCTGTGACCCAGATTTGGGAAGCAATTTAAATGGAGGGTTGACAACTTTATTTTTATTTTAGAGGCAATAGGGAGCCATTTGAAGATTTTTTTTAAACAGGGAAGTGACATGCTCAGCTTTGTATTTTTAGAAGTTCAATTTGGCTGTTATGTGGAGACTGAGTTGAAGGGCAAAGAGTCTTGAGACAGGGATACCAAATTTGGTTATGTGACCATGGGCAAAACACAACTTCTCAATGCTCTGAGCAACTAAGATTATAACATGAAGAGAAAGTGCCTGCTTGCATTGGTAAAGGAAATTTCCTTACCTGAGAGAGAGTTCCCTGTATCAGGTCAGAAATACAGTCTTCATCCATATATAGGTATTACTGTGTCAGAAAATAAGAGAGATGCATAAAAAGTATATTACTCTTGTAGTGTATTCCTACCAGATCAATTTCCACATCCATCAGTTATTCAATCATTTTTGATCCTATGTCTCCAGTCACACAGCCTCTGTCCTAATCCAGGTCCCCATCCCCTGTCACTTAAACTATTTTAACAAGCTCCTAATTTGGTAACCCTGTCTCAAGACTCTTTGCCCTTCAACTTAGTCTCCACATAACAGCCAAACTGATATTCTAAAAATACAAAGCTGAACCCATCACTTCCTTGTTTTTTTTAAAAAAAAATCTTTAATGCCTATTGCCTCTAAAAAAAAATCTTCAATGCCTATTGCCTCTAAAATAAAAATAAACTCCTCAATTCTCCATTTAAATCCCTTCACAAATCTGACTACCTCCCTTTCCAGTCTTGTCTCCTGTTCTTCCTTCTTCCCTTCCATTCCACGTCCTGCTATCTGTATCCCATGTATGACGTTTCAGTACCAGCCTCCATGACTTTGCACCAGTGGTCCTCATGTCGGAACTCACTCCTTCCTCAATACCACTACAGGCATACCTCAGAGATATTGAGGGTTCGGTTCCAGACCACTGCAATAAAGCAAGTCATATGAATTTCCTGGTTTCTCAGTACATATAAAAGTTATGTTTACACTATACTGTAATCTATTAAGTGTGCAGTATTGTTATGTCTTTAAAAATGTGCATACCTTAATTTAAAAATACTTTATGGCTGAAAAAGTCTAACCATCATCTGAGCCTTCAGCAAGTGGTAATCTTTTAGTTGATGGAGGGTCTTGCCTCGATGTTGATGCCTGCTAACTGATCCAGGTGGTGGTTGGTGAAGGTTGGCATGGCTGTGATAATTTCTTAAAATAAGACAACGATGAAGTTTGCCACCTCTAGGGACTCTTTCTTTCACTTGAACACTTAGAGGCCGTTGTAGGGTTATTAACTGGCCTAATTTCAATATTCTGAAGTGTCATGGAAAAGGGCATCGGGAGGAAAGGGGGAAAAACAGGGTAGTGGCTGGTCAATGGAGCAGTCAGAACACACACAAGATCTATCCATTAAGTTTGCCATCTTCTGTGGGTGTAGTCGCAGGGTTGCCACAAACCTTCAATTTGGTTAAAAAAAAAAAGCAATACCTGCAAAACATAATAAAGCAAAGCACAATAAAACAAGGTATGCCTGTACATGCAATCAATCTTTGGCTTCCTTTGAAGGATGGTTCAGGGGCCACATTCTACATTAAGCTTTTCTTGATGTCCCATCCCACCCTCACCCCAGCTGTTAGCATTTTCCCTTCCCTCTTGGAATTACTAATACTGAATACAGATTATTTTTATTTACTTTTGTACACATTTTATCCCTTAGTATATTGTAAGCTCCTTGAGAACAGAGATGTTTTGTTTTTCGTTGTATCCCCAGAGCCTAGCAGAGTGTCTTACTCATAGTAAATGTTTAATAAACATTAGTTGAATTGAATTGAATGGAAGTCTACCTATATCGCAACTTGTGCTTACCTATGGTTACCTGTTTCACCACCAGACGCTATTAGTGGGATGGAGCATGGGGTGGGGGGTGGGGGTGGAGAGGGATGTCATTGTTAACTAAGCAGCTTTGCTTTTCTAGGGAGCAGAATGTTTGAAAGATTCAAAGACAGAAATCATTCTCTTAACCAAATCAAGCTTCATATTAACAACAGTAATTTTAAAAACTCTTGTCTAAATCCTGAAGTTAAACCAATGCCTCATCATGCATAACATAGAAAAAAAACCTAGATTCTTGAAGAATATGGCAGAAGATAACAAGTTGTAGTAGGCCTTACCAAGAAATAAAGTAGAGAGACTTGGCAATTAATTGTATGCCTGTTGGGTAAGACCCACCTCTCTAAATGTGAAGAAACTTATCACCAAAAGGTTGAGCACGAAGTGCTTAATTTTTTTCAGCCATTGAGCTCCTTGAGAACAGAGACTATTTTTCACCTTTCTTTGTACCCCCAGTGCTTAGCAGGGTGCCTAATAATCACTTGTTGACTGACTATAGAAGACAAGCTACTAGTGCAGAGAAACATTATCATCTGTGTCACTGGAGGTAGAACACACAATAATCAAATCATAGATCTGTGAGATATTGGAAAACATTTGTTAACCAGGTTCCTGACAAATACATGTGCCAGGGAACCATTCAGAACAATGTGTTTGAAAATTATAGAATACGTAACAGAAATGTGGGTGGAGGGTTCCCCTTAATACTTAATATTTCCTCTAAAGAAGCTCTCTGTTGTTCTCTCTGAGATATCCTATAATGGTTTATATGTTAAATCAATAGTCACTTTCAGCAGATTAAACTTTCTTTGCCTGAAATGTCCCACTGTTCTATTAAGCATTGCTCCAAAGCAGTAATAATAATAATTTTTTAAACATCAGAGTTTTGCCTTTCATTTGTCAAACTGGTACTTATTCTACTAATTGGGCTAATCTTACTCAACAAAGGGATCTGTTTTGTTTCTCTCCTCTCCCCCGTTACAAGTAAACAGAATTGTAAAACATGGCAGCTTGTGCCTTCCCCTTTAGTCTTCATGTTTTGTTATTTTTTTTTTCTGGACCATCAGGTGCTAAGTCCTAGCTTTTCATTCTTCAATGAACCCTAGAGTTCGCTTCTGCCCATACTTTTTTATTACCTCCACTCACTACAGGCACTGGGTTGAAAATTTAGCTTTGATCTCTTTGAAAGACATCAAAAGACAGAGACAGAGTTGAGCTCGTAGCCTACTGATTTAGGGAAACCATTTGAGGCTATTCAAAACCATAAAGGCCACTTTCACTTGGAAAGTGACTTAATCCATTCCAATCATTTTACAAGTCTGTTAGAACTGCAGCCTCCTGAGACAGTCTCAATGCCTCCAGACTCTCTCTTCTATCATAAT